AGGGAAGCAGTTCAAATCCACCAGCTGCTCCACAGAAGAAAGAGTAATTTGTGCAATTTACAGCCTCTGAAAATCCACTGGAGTTATTAATTGGTTCCAACTCAATGGCACATAATAGTATTCCTGCAGAGGTTCCATACACCTTGTTTGCATTAGCAAAATTTTCCAAACTTCTTGGTGGTCCACAGCTCTTTATTTGAACAATGCCACCAAATCACATCATGGGCACAAGAGCCATCCTCGTCTTTGTTTTTCACCTTAATTCTTTTGCACAGCCCACTTTCCACTAGCTATGCCTCTGTCTTATTGCCTTAATAAAACTTTCTCCCTTGTTTTCTAAAAAAATAAAAAAATAATTAAGCATTATATATGTGTGACAACAATCCGGGATAAGAGGTGCACTGCAAAATGGACTGGAGCGGACGGAAGGGAGGAAACTACGCAACAATGAATGAATGATAACTTTTCGTTAAAAATCACAGTAACAGAAAGTGTATCTTAAAAAAGAAAGGTTCGAATCCACCAGAGACGAGGGAAAAAAGTTGGAATCCACCAGAGACAAGGGAGAAAGGTGGGCAACCCCCTCTCCTGCGATTTACTATGAGCCACTTCTGACTCGATGGAAATGAGAGAGCAAGCTGTCCAAACATGTCACTTCCTACCCACCTCCGAGATTAAATACCTTCAAGTCAGCGACTGCGTTCATTCATCTTTGAAACCCTCACCCCTTTTATCCCTTCCACACCTGAGTCCAGGGCTAGACGTTCAGAACGGCACAGACGGAGAGATAGTCAAAAGTTTACCGAATAAATAAACGGACGAATGAATAACCCTAGAGCCGACAATTAGTCTAGTGCCATCTCCAAAAAATCAGGAAACTCGGTTGTCCCAAAGATGCTTCTGAGAAGCATTACCCCAAAACCAGGTCCGGCCAGGGGAGATGACGCAAGCGTGGGGCGGGTACCACTGCACTCACGGCTTTCTCCTGCCGAGGCCATTGGCCACGCCTGCCTTCACCCGGAAGTAACTGCGAAGGTCAGCTCCTCCCCCTTCTCTTTTCTCTTGGGCTTGGATCAGGCGACAGCAAGGTTGTATCGCTCAGCCATGGTGAGTTGATAATATCCACCGCCATCCGCGTGTAGTTGGGCTTTGGGGCTGGAGTAATAGGTGCAGAGTGAGGCGTAAGCTCCTCTCTGTCGGTCAAGCTGGTGGGTCGCCGCGCGGAGTGGTCTAATGTAACTATAGCCGGCTTCTGGCTTTCTCCTCTTGACCGTCTGGGACTAGCAGTGGCGCGCGCCCTCTGATCTGGTCCTCGGTCTTCCCGGTTACGGAAGGGTTGGATAAAGCGAGGGTGCACCCCTGGGTTCTCAACTCCTTTGCCGGAGGCAAGACCATGCAGTGGGATAGTGAGTCCAGACTGGGCCATGGGGGTGAGCTTGTCCGCCGTCTTGGCCCCAGCACAGTGGATGTCCCATCGTGGTGGCAAAAAAAGAAAGTAATTTCTCGAAGCCTCTGACTCCAACCCCTTCTTTGGAGTAGGCCAAAATCAAGGCTCGGGACCTTCGCGGAAAGAAGAAGGAGGAGCTGTTAAAACAGCTGGACGATCTGAAGGTGGAGCTTTCCCAGCTGCGCGTCGCCAAAGTGACAGGCGGTGCGGCTTCTAAGCTCTCCAAAATGTAAGTCACTCAGCGGTTAGATTTCTGCTTTCTGGGGTTGAGGTGTTCTGGAGTTAGGTCGTTCAGTAGTGGGTCTGTGGGCTAAGGAGCCACGGCCATTCCTAACCATGCTCTCCTTACCCATGCTCAGCCACATGGATCCACTTTGTTTTCTTCCGTGTCTTTTTTTGCCTGTTGTGCCTCTGCTAAATTTCTGCCTGGAGAAATAACTAGACTCATTTATACTTTCAGAAATCCACTGGACCTATTCCTTACACATCAGCACCGGGTCCCCCACTTTCCTTATCATATCCTCCTTGGTGAATGGAAACTTTGCATCCTCTACTTAAGTTTTTGGTGTAATATTTTTATTTGCGTGGATGAGAATCAGATTTGTGGACTGAGCATGGGTTTGAAGTTAGCCGACCTATCAGAGGTAGCGGTTCTGCCACATCCACTTGATAAACAGACTGTCTCACCTCCCAGAGTATTTCTTCTTAATCACACACTGTGTCCTTCTGCCAGCACACAAACCTTAAAACCAGGGAAATGGTGGGTAACTATTTGAGTTTGGGAACACATGGGCAAAGTTGCAACTGAATCTGCATACCTTGTGTACCCAGTGATGATCCTCCAAGATGCTGCATGCTCAGCGTGACTGCATATTTAAGCTCCCCCAATTGCAGCCCTATCATCCAACTAATCTCCCAAAAAGCCTTTCTGCTTCCTAAACATCTCTTTTGCCCCTTTAGCTTATTTGGTGGTTCAGCTTGTGACAGCCTTTTAGTTCATAATTCCCTCCCATCAGACCATTCTTAAGGCTCTCTGAATCTTGTTTAATTTGGCCTCTGATTAGACTGACATTGATTACTAGTTCTTTGGGACCCTCAGGATACTTTGGTTTGAGAGCCTGGATTGATCTGCTCCCACTTGTCTAGCCTGTTGTTCTGTGCCATCCAGTTGGATGGAAAGCTGACCCTCCAGCAGGTTTTCAGAGACAATTGCACAGGAGGACATTTCTCATCATTTCATAGAACAGCTGGTGGGTTCGAGCCATATGTTTTTGGGGTGTTTTTTTTATCTCACTGAACATGTCATAGCACTGGCTCTGTCCTCTTCATCTACTGTTTTCACTCTGACCCCTGGGATATCCATCTCCACACACTCTGTCCAGAAAACAAACCTTCCTCCTGGGCTTGGTCAGATGATTCTGGGTGACTCTGGTTTGCTGCCCTGTGGCAGACCTATCAGTGAGCTGCCTTGGGAACTGCTGTCTTTCCCTGTATTCACTGACAAATCTTTTTTTTTTTTGTAGCCGAGTTGTCCGAAAATCCATTGCCCGGGTTCTCACTGTTATTAACCAGACTCAGAAGGAGAACCTCAGAAAATACTATAAGGTAAGTATGTAATGGAGTCTGGCTGGAGACTTGGGTTTGAATCTGCTTTTACCAACTGAGTGACTTTGGGCCATTTCATTTACCATGTGTTGGTTATTGCTTTTTTCCTTCCCAAATAATCTTAAGGTTTACAGAGGTTAAATTGCCCAGGGTCATATACAAGTAATCATGATGGACCTGGAGAATAGGGAAGAGTGAAAGAGATTTATAACAAAGAATTGACTAATGCAGCACCCATTCATCTTGGGATGGGGCACTGTTAAACGGCCTTGTAATTACACAAAATTGATGTGAATAGCCTGTCTCTGGTGTCCCAATAAGCTCCCATGTCATCACCAGGTGAGCTTCAAAGATCTGACTTGGTCATGAGCATGTCTTGTGTTTGAGTGTAAGGCTCTCCCCCATCTTGCAGGCTCTCACACCCTTCTTCATTTGCTTCCCAGTGCCGAGCTGCAGACTAAAAAGGCTCCATGCTCTTTGCATACCAGCCCTCAGTCAAGGAACCTTCAGCCTATGGCAGGTGGCCCAAAAGAGATGGTGGGGACCAAGGAAGAGTCACTTAAGTCTGAGCAACAACCCAGGAGGCAGAAGCAAGGGCTAGGTTACAGACAATCTTTGGGCAAAGAATTGCAGAAAGCGAGACAGGACACAGTGATGGATTTGAGAGGCAAGAAAACATCTGCCCATTCCCATGCCTGTATGTTCCTAGTAGCTACTGTCTTGGCCTGCCCATCATCCAACACTTCCGCTATACCAGAGGTCTCCCCTTCCCTTATAACCAAGCAGTGCCTGGATGGTCTCCTCTACCTGATTGTTTAAGGACGGACATGAACACACAGGGCATTCACTGAATGATCATGAAAACCAGTTCTTCCAGGTCACCACCCCTATATAATATCCCCAGAGCCTAACCTTTAAGTATGCTTCTTGACCCACCTTCCCCAGATTAATGGGTGCTGCATGCCCCTTACATTGCATGATGGGGAATCATGCCAGGAGAAGGAACAAATTAGGAGCTGGTAGATAAGCGGCACAGACCCCAGTTCTGCTCGTTTTACCTCCTTTGGCCACTTGTCAACCTCTTTAAGCCTTTCCATCATCCTGTTACCTGGACTACTTTAGTTACTACATAAATCTTTTGATTTATGCAAACCTACTGCCGTTGGGTCAGTTTTGATTCCTGGAGGCCCTATGTCAGATTTCTGGGGCAAATCATAATGGAGGAACTGGCTGCCTCAGTTTTCTTCTTTGGAGCAGCTGGTAGATTCTAATTGCTGACTAGTTTGCCATTCACAGAACTCCCACTGGCTCAGAAAGTCACTGTTTCCTTACTATTGTGTGCTGTTGAGTCCAAATTGACCTATAGCTGATCCTCCAGCTGGTTTTCAGAGGCAGTTAGTCACAGACTGGGTAGATTTGAACCATGTACTTTCAAGATCGCAGCGCAGCTTCTTGCCACTTGGCCACCAGAGCACCCCTAACTCTTGGCCTTCAGGCTCACCTTGTTCTTCCTACTCACCCAGGGCAAGAAGTACAAACCCCTGGATCTGCGGCCCAAGAAAACACGTGCCATGCGCCGAAGGCTCAACAAGCATGAGGAGAATCTGAAGACCAAGAAGCAGCAGCGAAAAGAGCGCCTGTACCCACTGCGGAAATATGCAGTCAAGGCCTGAACTTAAATAAATAAAACACAAAACTAGCTGGCTTGTTGCTCTGTATTTGAAGGTAGTCCATTCCCTGGGGTGGAGAGAAGAGGAGAGGGTGGGGCTGTTGTGGTCCACCACATTTCTTTTGGATTCTAGTGTTGGGTTGTGTCTACTGGCTGTTCTGTTACTGACCCTCTGGGCCCAAGGCATGGAACCACCCTGTCTGTCCTAGTTCATTCTTCCATAACCACGGCTTCATTCTCTATGGGCCTGACCATTATGTTGGTCTTAGATTCTAGAGGTCACCTGGTCAGAATCTGGCTCTGGATGATATGATCAGCAAGCAACTCCAGACAGAGCTTTCCATCTGAGGTGAAAGCACAAGTGTGGGCCACATCCAGAATTCCCTTGTCAAAAGGACAGTGTTGGCTTCTGGTCCTGCCTGCCCCAGCCTTCAATACCAGGCTATGCCTATTACAGCCATGGGCCTCACCTTTAAGGTCTTGATGCACTTCCCCTGTGTTGCAGCACCAGACTTTGACCTGGAAACAAACACCATAAGACTAGGGAGGCTTCACCAGGCATATTGGGACTCATCTAGGAATGAGTTCTAACCAACATCTTAAACTCTTGGTCTAGATTTTACTGTCAGGTGCTGTCAACTCATGGTGACCCTATGATCGGCTGGTTGAGAACTTGTCCTGTCTTGTGGCATCTTTGCTATTCTTAGGTGCTGTGAAATCAACTACAAATCATAGTGACTCAGAACAGTCCTGTCCCATCTGTATGATCTCATGCTCATACCCATTGTTTGAGTCACTGTGTCCGTCTTGTTAAGGCTCTTCCTCTGTTGCTGACCTTCCACCTTGCCTAGCACAGTATTTCCAAGGACTGGTTCCTCCTCAGTGTGCCTAAAAAGTAAGCAAGGTGGGGTTAAACCAGCCTTGCCTCTAAGGAGTACTCTGGTTACACTTGGCACTGTGTCATAGGGGTATTCATACATTGGTTTTTGGAGTTAACCTAGTACCAAGCACTGAGTACAGAGAAACCTCTGCCACAAGCCGCCTTGGTTTCCTAACAGACCAAATAGGGATGTAAAACACTTAGAGATTGCTGAGAGCCCTAGTGAAGAAACAGAATGGACGTTTTGCTTGAGTAGGAGTTGGTCAGAACTGGGTTTGGGATTAGAAGTGTGGAATTACCAGGTGGTTGTAGCCAGCACTGACCAACCACAGTTCATCAGGGGAAAAGGCTATGCTCTTCACCCAGGTGAGGTGGCCTTTGAGCTGGACAAGCAGGCTGGTTGTCTGGGGCTTCCAGATGCAGATGGTCTTGTCCCAAGAGCCAGATGCCTGAAAGGAAATGGGTACGAGGTCCCACGTCTCTGAAAGTCAACCGGAAAGGTAAGAAAGCTTACCAAGAGGCTGGATGATGAATAGCACAAGCAGCTGATGTTAACCATGGTGGCCCTCCAGCTTATGGTAGGAGCTGCCTGTCATGGATCGCAGGTCCCAGATGCGCACGGTCGAGTCCCAGGAGCCAGTGGCCTAGAAGTGGCTGCAGTGAACATGAGCCAGCTGACCCAGGCCCACCCTTACAGCACCTGAGCTGGCCCAGTTGTGCACCGCCAGTAAAGCATCACCTGAGTCCCCATCAGCAATAAGGAAGTGCTCAGCAAAAGGTGCTTTTTTAGGGATTTCAAATTCTAACATCCACCTTGCTCTTTGCACTACTTAATCTGGGGTTGGGCTCATGGTTCCCCTAATCTTGTAGGGGCCACTGAGATGGAGAACGGGGTGGATGGCATGTCTCACCAGATAGTCCGCACTAGGTGAGAAGTCGCTGCTCTGGACAGAGTCATGATGCCCAAGTAAGAGCCACAGCATCTGTCCTGACTGGAGAAGAGAGGCCTGAGCAAGGAGGCTGAGGCTGTGCGGAGCAGCCAGGAGCTAGGCTTGGAGATTCCAGGACTGCCAGGCTATTAAGATGCAACAGGCTGGAGATGGAACAGCCCAGACAAACCTCAACTGCAAAGATCTTATAGAAGGCTGATACATGCAGGGAGGCTTAGAGAGAGCCGAACCCAGATGCGAGTGCTGGTAATGGGGAACCAAGGCTGTTGGAGGGCCATCCTGTAGTTGGTGAGGAGAGTTATTTCCTCTAGGTCACTGGATGCCCTTTTGGGTGTGGCTGGGCCCTAGCCCATTCACAAACCTGCACTTCCCAAAGCATGACCCTCTTGTCCCAGCCGCCCGAGGCCATCTGCTTTGAGTCAGGACTGAAGCTGACTGTCTCCACACTTCGTTGGTGACCTGCAGTGCCAGGTCAAGTTGGGGAGGAAAAGAAGCAGGACATGAGGTTCAAAAGAATGTGGGCCTTGCTGCATGGCTCTTGAGTCTCACCCGACCCACTCACCCTTCAGGACCTGCAGACATTTTGCTCTTGCCACATCCCACAGGCGGATGGTATGGTCATGGTCACTGGATGTACTGGCGAACAGGTGACCATCGGGAGAAGTGGCAGAACTTCACGGGGCCTGGCAGGGCATCCAGCATCAGGGAATAGAACACTGCCCTCCCTCTTCTCCCTGCTCCTGCTGGTCAAACCTTGCTAATCTCTTTCCCCCAACCATTTTCACAAATACATCTCATAAGTCTTTTTCAATTTGACTTTTTTACCGCTACAGAGACTACTGTTGTTAGATCTGGAGGAACATTCTTCTACTTTGTACATCACTGTTTGTCAATGTGCTGTATGAATTAACCCGGGTTTGCTGTGATGCTGAACCTTGTGCCATGGGGATATAAAATACCAAAATGGTTTCCCAATGTGGACAGTGTTTGGTGGAGCTCCTTGTTGTAAAACAGGTTTAGAAGCAGGAATGGCATCTACTTCCTAAACCACCTGCCTCTGGAAATTCTATGAACTTGGAGAAATCATCATAGTTATTACTGAGACATCTCTCATCCCAAATCAGGGAATTGCAGGACTGATAATGTTATAGTTGGGGACAGTCCAGGCGAGCTCACAGGAAGGAATGAACATAGGCTGGACCATCAGCGATTTTCGACATGGATAAACTGGAGTGAAGTGCACTGGGCTAAGGGAAAGGCATTCGGTCTTTTGTTCATTGAGTAGCTATGAGTTGTGCTTGATGGCAATCAACAATAACAAGCCACACTTTTGTCCATGCTGATCCCTTAGCCCAGTGTACTTCACCCCAATTTACCATGTGGAAAATCTCTGATGGCCCAGCCTGTGTTCATTGCTTCCTTTGAGCTCACCTGGACTGTCCCCAACTGTAGCATTAATCAGTCCTGCAATTGCCTGATTTGAGATGAGAGGTGTCTCCTCAGTAATAACTATTATGGTTACATCTACTAAACTCTCACTGGATGCAGATACTTTATCTGCATAATCTCACAGGATGGTTGTTTTTTAGGTGCTGTTGTATTAGCTCCAATTCCTAGTGTCTGTTCTGCCTGTGTAAAACAAAACACAACCCTGCCTGATGCTGTGCCAGCCTCATAATCTCTGCTGTGCTTAAGCCACTGGTGTAGTCACTGTGTCAGTCCAATCTTCCTCTTTTCCTCTTCCACTTTCCCAAACATGCTGTCCTTTTCCGAGGACTGGCCTTCCTGGCAACATGTCCCAAATATGTGAGACAATGTCTCACCTTGCCTCCAAAATATCTAATACTAATTCCACTTCAAAAGAAAACACACTCTAAATATTAACGACTTCAGACTCAAAGCAATTCTTTTTTATTTTTCCTTGAGCAATTCTGGAACAAATTAGAACTGTGCCACAGTGTTTCCCAGTCTGTAAATCCTTACAGAGGCTGACTGCCACGTTCTGTGTCTTCCCAAATATCACACAAAGGTGATAGGATCTAAGCCCTAGTCTGCTAGCCTTAGATTCCCCATGAGCCAGGCTCTATTTGATTACCCTTGCATTATCAAGAATGACACACTGATGCCCACTGAAATGCAAGAAGTCATTGTAGTGGGTGCTGCAGAAGGCCAGAACACACCTGGGCTTCAGTCTCTCCATCTGAGCTATGGGAACCCCACCTGTGTGGCCACTCAGCCTCCACAGCAGCTTTCCACTCTGAGTCTCCCATCCATAGACACAGCCATCATCTGAGGCTGTGAGCAGCGTCTGGCCATTGGGAGAGAAGGCAGAGGAGTTGACCTGGAAGCAGAGAACAAAAGTTAACCAATGCTGGGGCAGGAGACGCCAGTATGATTATTCCTGACCCAGGACTCCTGGACCAGCCCTAAACAGCATCCCTGGAGATTAAGCCTGGAACTTGGCCTCACTCTAGAATTAGAGCCTAAGAATTCAAGACCCTTTTGAGAGTCAGAGTTCAAAGATTGGAATCCTTTTTAGAACCAGAATCTAGAACTTTGAGTCTTTTGTGAAACAAATAGCCTAAGTCTATTCTGAAACTGGAGCCTAGACCCACGAGTGTAGAGTCTACTACTACTACAGTCTTTTCACTTAAAATCTGGAGCCCCTGGAACAAACTGAAGACCTCAAAGCTAGAAACCTAGATTCTCAACAGAGTGGAGCTGGATCTCACCTCCCCACAGTGCTTGTTGAAATATTTGACTCTTCCCACCGCCAACGCCTCGGGGGTCCAGCTGTTCATGAGCCCTGGGTGTCCACCTGTAGGGGGTTCCTTCCGAGGTGGCTCCTGCCCGCAGGTCCTCCCTCTGATGAAAAGCGAAAGGGAAGCACTTGTGTACAAGCAATCGCCTTGGTAATCAGGGCAGGACGCGCAGACTCGATGGGACTATGGAAAGTCATGAGACATCCAGGAAGGAACAACCAGGAAGAGACAGCTATCAGGTCCAAGGAGATGGAACTGCGGCAGAAGGCCACAGGCCTCCGGGAGAGAAGGACGTGCCCTGCAGGCAACCAAGGATTGTCCCTCGTCAGCGGACAAGACAAGGCAGTGCTCACTTTTGCCGCCGCTAGAGAGCGCTCCAGTCCCACACACTGCTCCCTCCTCTAAACTTGCTCAAAGCTGCGGCCTCAAACAGTCCAGATTTCAAAGAGCTGGGGCAGATTTCCTGAGGTAGAAAGAAAAACCGATTTCCTCGTTATCTTTGCTCCTGGATTGAACCTAGCACAGGGGCCGGCACGTGCAGATGCCCAGGAAGGCTTGCTACAAAGACCCTCCTGGAGTAAGTGACCAGTCCCAACTAAGGCTAAAATAAAAAGAGTTCCCAGAGAAGGCTAGAGACCACTTGGGGAGCAAAAGGTGACGAATGTAAAACGGAAGATGTAAAGAGTGAGCCACTGTGACCTCTAGTGGCCGAGTGGTAAGGAATTGCGCTGTCACCCAAAGATAAGAGCTTTGAAATCCACCAGCTGCTCCGAGAAAGAAAGATGGGAAATCAACTCCTGTACGAGTTCCTGCCTCTGAAAACCCGCTCCAGGGTCAGCTAGCAGTCGTTCAGATTCAATGGTATATAACAACAATCACATTCAGAATATATAAAGAACTCTTAAAACAACAAAAAGACAAAAACCTCTATCAAAACATTTTTCTAAAGATGAGCTACAAACATCTAACAAGCATATAAAAAATATTCAGTGATGGATTTCCCTAATGATATTTCATTAGGGAAATTCAGATTAAAACATAAGGAGAGAAAAAAAAAAAATAAGGAAATACCCCTTCACCTTCAATTGTTGTTCTTGAGAACCATCGAGTCAGAATCATAGCTGACCTCGCAGTGTGTTTTCAGCAGCAGCTTACCCCACCAGAAGAATCCCAAGAGTTGTTAGCCCAATTTCTTACCACTAAGACACCAGAGCTCCCTACACTCTCAGTAAAAGGAACAAAATTTTAAAAAGAAGAGAGAAAAAAAAATGTTTTTTTAAATAAAAAAGAAGGACTGTCAAAAATGTAGAGAAATTGCAACTCTTACCCATTGCTGGTGGGAATGTAAAATGGTGTAGAAATAGTTTGGCAGTTCCTCAATAAAACATAGAATTGCCATTGTTGTTGGGTGCTGTCAGTCCTGATTTATAGTGATCCCACGTGACACAGGATTTTCTTGTTTATAAACTTTACTGAAGAAATTCTCCAGGCCTTTCTCCCTCAGAATTGCTCCTGAACACATAACCATTGTGCCACTAGGACTATACTCAGTATTAATATTATCCAGCAACTCAACTCCTAGGCACACACCCAAAAGAATTAAAAAAACAGATGCACAAAACCCAAAACCTGTGTGTAAACGCTCATAACAGCACTATTCACAAAAACCACAAGGTAGAAACAGCCCCAATATGCATCACCTTTTGAAGTGACAAAGAATGTTCTGGAACTAAATAGTGAGGATAGTAGTAAACATTTTGAATGTACTAATGGTCACTAATGGTAAATGTTATGTGAATTTTACCATAGTTTTTTAGAAGCTTAGCAAAAAAGTAGGATACATTTTAACTCTGGTAATTTTAGTTTCTGGCAACACAAAATGTGCCATCTGAAGATAAGGAGACCTTGGAAGGAGACCCTGGGATGGGTGTGGGCTGCCAGGATCCTTGGGTTGTTGTTGTTGTTGTTTTGTGCCTTCGAGTCCCTTGTGACTCATAGCGACCCTATGTACAACAGCCCTAAACCCTGCTCTATCCTGTGCCAATCTCATTGCCTCTGACACACCCATCCCGATTACCCCAGTCACTGAATCAATCCACCTCATAGAGGGTCTTCCCCTCCTGCGCCATCCCTCCACTCTCCACCTGCCCAAGCATGATGTCCCTCTCCAAGGACCTGTCCCTCCTTACAACATGTCCAAAGTACATCAGACGAAGCCCCAGAATCCTTGCCTCCAAGGAGTAGCCTGGTTTAACCCTCTCCAGGATGAATCTGTCTGTTTTCTTGGCAGTCCAGGGTACATTCAATACTCTTCTCCAGCTCAAAGGCATCAATTCTCCTTCTATCCTCCTTAGTCATTGTCCAACTCTCTGATGCATGACAAGTGATTGCAAAGACTGAAACCTGGAGAAAAAAGTAAGAGGGACACATTTCACAGATGAGGAAACAGAGGTCCCAAGAGATGAAAGAACTGCCCACAGGCAATCGCTGGTTGGAGTGGGACTGGGATTTCACCCATGTCTGGCTTGAGTGTTCTCTATTAGAACAACCTACCAAAATTCCTAGGGGCTCTCAGCAGACACAAGGTCTCTGGTTCCTGCAGGAGCCCTGGTGACGCAATGGTTAAGTCACTCAGCCGCTAATCAAAGATGGACAGTTTGAACCTCTAAAGGCTAGCAAAGCATAGGATGCAGTTCCCTTCTGTCCTGTAGGCCACTAGGAGTCAGGATCAACTAACTCAGCAAGACACAAGTGAGTTCTAGCACATCAGGGAAACTAAGGCCCAGAGGGGTAAGATCTGGCCCAGATACCTAGCACGTCCATGAAGGCTAGGTCACAATTCCCCCTTCTCCACAGCTGGGCAGGGTGGAGCAGAGACACACCCCTGCCCTCCCTACTCCCTACTGTTCATTGGATTCCAGGCTGCCTGGGGGTGGGGGTGGGGCAGCTCAGCTTTGGGAACAGGGTTCCCAGCTATGACTCACACCCCTCCCCCACAGACTTCTTTGCCAGAAACTCTTCTCACGAGATTGGAGATCAGGAATCGGTAGAGCCCCAGCTCTATTTTAGGCCTCAGACAGTTAGGCGGTCTGGAAACTGACAATGGCGGCTTTGAGGTGGCCCTACCCCCACTCCAGCTCCCAGGGGGCCCTGGTCACTGAATTGTCTCCTCAGGGACAGTCTGAGCGGAGCCAGAACTCCCAAGACATAGCCTTCCCCCAGATCCCCCAGGGCCAGATCCCCAGGTCCTCTCCTCCTCCCTCTTTGGCCCATGGCTAGACAAGTTCCTCAGGACCTGGCTGCTCCTACTGTCCCTGGAGGCCCAGAACCACCTTGGCCAGCCCAGTCCTTCACTCCCAGAGCTCCTTGCAGAAGCTTTGTCTGCCAGACAGTGTGGCTGCTTAGATAGTAGAGATGGAAGTGGGATTGAATATCTGTCCACCTTACTCAGGAATCAAGTGGGGACCACTTGTCCTGAATCCCAGGATCCTCAGGGGCCCTAGTGTCAATGTCTATCTCTCCTGCCTCACTCTGTCCCCATGGGCTTTTTTCCATCAGCTCCACCACTCCACCCTTCTCATCCTTCCATCTTAACTCCCACTGGAGGGAGGCAGCCTGTGCAACACGCTTGACCTGATTTTTCTTCACCCTTCAGATCTAAACTAAGACATCTCTTCCTTACAGGGGCTGCCCTTTCCACCTGCCCAGGCTCAGTCAGACCCCCTTATCCCAGAGGTGGGGCTTAAACCCATGCTCTGACAACACCAGTTCTCACCTCTGGCGAGCTGCCCCACCCAGTCTTAGTTTCCTGTTAGAGGGCCAGCTAAGGATCAGTTTTGATCCCATGGTACACAACAATAGTTGTCTCACTGAGTCCTTTGAAGAGTTGGTGAGGTGATACCCATTAAACACCTGAGAAGATAGTCAGAGGCAGTAGGAACTGCTCCTGTGAGGGACTTTGGCTCCCATCTTGACAGGCCGCACCCTCAGGAGAAGGGAGTACAGAAAGGTAACATCCACCTTTGTCCCACACAGTCAAACACCTTTGCATAATCAATGAAACACAGATAGACATTCCTCTGATATTCCCTGCTTTCAGCTAAGATCCATCTTACATCACCTACAATATCCCTAGTGCCACAACCCCTTCTAAACCCAGCCTGGACTTTTGGCAGTTCTCTGCTGAGGTGCTGTTCCAGTCATTTTTGGATAATCTTCAGTAGAATCTTGCTTGCGTGTGAAATCAATGATATCGTTCTATAGTTTCCACACTCTGTTGGGTCGGGTCACCCTTCTTTGGAATGGGAACAAATATAGATCTCTTCCAGTCAGTTGGCCAAGTGGTTGTTCTCCAGATTTCTTGGCACATCTTGGTGAGCACATCCAGGGCACCATCTGTGAGCTGAAATATGTCAATTGGTATCCCATCTATTCATGGGGCCTTATTTTTTGCTATTTCCTTCAAAGCAGCTTGAACTTCTTCCTTCATCACCATAGGCTCTTGCTCATATGTTGTTTCATGATATTCTTCTGTGTCTGCCAATTCCTTTTGATGCAGTGACTCAGTATATTCTTTCCATCTTCTTTTAATACGTCCTGGATCATTTAATATTCTGCCTAAAGCATCC